TGGGGACATTAATAAGCTGATGATGATGATGACTGTTAATTTTGAGTTGATTTGCTGACCTGGTAATGATCCGCATTGTGTCGCAACAGTCACTGTTATTGAAAAATAGAAGTCGATGGCACGTAAATAGTTGTAATTAGATATTATTAGGGCCTTCTGCACGAAGCAATGAGAAAGATATTTGTGGAAAACGTGTGCCTGCTGTTGTGTCGTTGTACTACGAGTATTTCTGAATCTGCTCATCATCAGTCTAAGATTTATGGAAATATTACATCACATTTCAACTGTACTCGTTAAAATACGTCCATAATCGGACCGACCGAATGCTGAGAACGTGTTTTTCTTATTGGTAAAATGACAAACACACGACTCTTTTTACTTCTGGAACTCAGTGATTTGGGGTGACCAATTATTATCCTGTTTTTCAAGATTTACTTCTTGCATAGAAAACTTTTAATGAGTGCTATTAAACGACGTATTATTGATGATTGTACACATGACTCAGCCGTAATAAAAAGACAATACTTACAGGCAATTCTTTTGGCAAATATAATTAATTCCTCGTCCCGTCCGCTGCCTGGTCCGCGTGGATTTTTTTCTAGTAAACTTTTCTTTAGATTTAAACATCTAGCAGTTAAATGCTTAAAAAATAAATAAAATCATAAATATAATTCCTATTTTTCAATTTCGCAAATGAATGGAACTAGTCAAATGAAGGAGCAGTTGTTATTGCCACTGAAAATGCGACTTCTTTCAAACTGCCATGAATTTTGGAAGGCGACGGATTCCAGTCCCAACAGATACTATGATTTTGGCCTTTATGGATTTGTTTGAAATACATATAACAATATTTAGGTAATCAATTTTCAAATAGCTACTAGTAGATTAAAGATGGGTAGGCACTTAATGAAAATATCATTTTCTGTTTTTTTTATTTGTGACAACCTGGTTTGAAGTTTATTCTTCTCAGTACAAGTTCTTCCGCTCCCGCCAGTTTTTCGGCTGTAAACGATATTGAATTCTGTTTTTTAATTAGATTATTGGATATCTTTCTCGCAAAAAAATATTTTTCATTTTAATGTGTCAACATGTGAAAACGTTAAACCAGAAACTTGCGTCTTGTCGAATTTGTTGTCACTCTACCAAAATCATATTTTAATCCTGTCGCCAACTTCGATGCACTGGTTGGCAATAAATTTCTGTACATTCTCCTTGTAACATTACAATTAGCATTGATTCATCTGGAAAAAATATCAATCTTAATAAACTGCTTTCTTTATAGTGTTTTAGAATAGCGAAAGCAGGCTCGAGATAGAAAGATTGGTTAGTGCACAAACATAGTGCGCATTCATTAGGTTCCCTTAAATATGGTGGAGCAAAGCGATGACTTGTTAATGCGTCATGCTCGTGAACTGGTGCTGCCAACGGAGATAAGTCTGCTCTAATTTGCTATTAAATATGTTATCAAGTTTTACCTTATATTTAAATAACATAATTTGTATTTAAACACTATGACACGAACACAACACAGCAATCAAAATGCAAGTGAACTTTATGTATATTTCACATTATGTAATGAAAGGTAACTTCAAGAATCATTCTGAAGTCATTTTTCAACTGGATGACTCTGTATATAATAATACAGGGAGAAAAACAGCCCTTGTTGAGTTTCTTGCCGGTTCCTCTCGGTACAAGGTCTCCCGCCGTAGATTTACGAACCGATGGCGTATCTTCTAGACATTCATGACAGCCTAAACTGAACAAACAATTTTTTACGGCCATAACCCAATGCCCGACCCCACGGAGTAGAAATTTATTTATGTTTAGGTACTTTTACGAAAAATATATGTTGTTTAATTTCCATTAGAGATTTAGTTTCAATAAGTAAAGTCTTCTCATTAAATACATAAGTAAACATGTAACACATAATTAATGAATCTAATTAATTGTATTGGTAGCGACATGATTTTATGTAAATGTAGATAAAGACCTTATTGCAACCGCCGAAACAATACCTTTCGACTTAAGCTCTTCTTGCATAGTCACCAGAGGCACTCTGATCACGAGACTATTAAGGTCCCCACTGCTGGGGCACAGGCCTTCTCGTTGGACGGAATAGGGAGACTGGGCCGCGACCCACTACGCGGGCCCAGTGCAGATTGGTGGGAGCCAACGACTGCGAATTCAGCTCAAGGGCTTAACGTGCCTTTTGAAATACAGAGGAGCTCGTGATACTAAGCTTTTGGTCACCCATCCAACAACTGCCCATTGCGAAAGTTGCTTAACTTACACGGTCGCAGGCCGAATAGCAATCCACCTGCGCCATCGAGCTCGTCTGATGTAACTAGGTACTCTGCGATCTCCTCTGCTTTCGTAGATTAGAAATGTAGGCTAAACACTGGTGTCGCTGAATGCAACAGATTGTTCGGTCCAGTCGGTACATCGGTCCATCGTAACCCCATGAACGCCGCAAAGATTGTGACGAAACATCAACAAACAAATAAGTCTTCCTTTCCAGTATGAGAAAATCAAAATCCTTCTCATCAAATTACAATTTACCTATTACGATATTACAAGCGGTGCTTATCTGTGCAAGTAATTCTTGTCAGTTTCCTGTTTTTTTTTATTATATACTAGTGGCCCGCCCTCTCTTCGCTTCGGTGTAGAGCTGTAGTGTAGATTTAAATGACTCTTCACATAAGTAATTATAAAAAAAAACTGAAAATGGTATATTTGCCTTTTCCAAACTTCTATTGACATCACGTCGCTCAATTGTTTTGCCTTCCCAGAATCTCTCCACTAACATTTGAAAATGGTATGGTATTAAAGTTCAAATTGACTTTTAAGTATTATTACGAATCGTTGATGGGAGTACAGAAAAGTGTTGTTTTTGGACATTTTCAGGCATTTTTTTTTATTTTTTTCCGCGTAAGAACCATCCTCGTACTTCAAGGAATATTCTAAAAAAAGAATTATCGAAATCGGTTCAGCTGTTCTCGAGATTTGGGCTTAGCAACACATCCTGTCAATCAGCAGTGATTCATTTTTATATTATAGATTTAAAAGTTTAAATTCATTTAAAAAAACAGCTTGATCCTTTGGCCTTGCGTAGGGATGCAGCTTCGCACTGCATCTTCTACCGCATTTATCACTGGTAGTTTGGATTCTGAGGAGAAGAGAGGATTGAGAGTTCGATTAATGGCTTTTCGGGTCGTATTATGATTGGTCCGGAAACACTGCTGGCGACAATATATTTCACAGTTTTGTCGTGCGTGGTAAAAAATCCTTCAAACCTTCACAAAAAGAGCGTAAGATCGTTTACACATTGTACGGTCCGATATCAGCATCGGACGCCCTGACCAATTATGCTACCGCAGCCCTGACAGATAATTTCTACACCTTTGAGTTTAAAATCTATAGCGCTATGCAACGAATCACACTACATTTCAGTGTGACCTTTAACTAAAAAATTTTGTGTTAGATCCACATTCTTTTCCATAGCTACTCTGACCAAAGCATTGCTGAGGTAACTACTTCTGTTCTGCGCGCAGCATACATCGTAGAACAATATGACAGGAACAAGCTTCGCATTCAAAAGGTGTAAAATATTATCAACGATGCAAGACGCAAAAACTGAAGCTTCGAGTCCTCCGTTGCTTTCGTCAAACCAATCTCTCGTCATAGTTGGCCAAGTTGTAGGTAGTAAAATTGTGAATGAAAAGGTTTGTCTTGAAGTACAAAAAGGTCGCCAGTAGATTTGGAACCATTTTGACAGTTTGATTGCCATGTTCTGACGCAGGAGTCAGAACGTGGCAATCACCTGCAACAGCCAAACCTTTGTCAACAGATTTTTCAGCCCTGGCACGGTTCTTCAATTCAATGTGGTTCTGCCACTCCTCATCGGTCACGTTGTCCACTTTGTGAGAGCAGCAAAAGTCACACTGATCCTTTTTGGGAAGATATAAGCTCAGATTACTTTTAAGAAACCCGTTGTCGAAAGTCCGGCGACACAGAACAATTTTATTTTCTTCTTGGCAATCTCAAACTCAAACTCATTTATTCGGTCTAGGCTGTTACAAGCTCTTGTGAAAGTCAAACGCTACGCCATCGGTTCGTAAATCTACGGCGGGAGACCTTGTACTGAGAAGAACCGGCAAGAAACTCAGCAAGGGCTATTTTTTCTCCCTGTTCTGTTTCATACAGTGTCGTCAATTGAAAGATGACATCAAAAATTTAAAACATGTGTTGATCTCAACTTCCATGACATTAATATTATTAATTAACAAATGTTAAGTATAGCTAGGTACTATTTTTAAATTTAGAAATGGCGATTACACAATTTTAAAAATAAAATACAAAATAAACACTCACCCAATACCTTCGCCACCAAACATGTAAGGCTTACTTTACTCTTTGATGTAAGGAGATTGATGTATGTTCGCGGTGTTTGTGCCAAAACTCGCCAATCACCGACGTTCGCGGTGATACAAATTTTAAATTCTTGTTTTCAATTCGTTAGCTTCCTTTAACGTGATTGGCGCAATAAACGCGTGTTTTTTTTCTCTATCCAATGACATTTAAAACTAAATAGCGGAAAAATGCAAATTCGCGATGTTGTAATATAAGCGACGGTATGTAATTAAAAGATTTTACCTTCGATAAAAAATTATAAAAATAATCTTTATTGACATACACCTCACAGGACATACAAGACATTAGAATGAATATTAACGTCACGTTGGTGTTCTGTGGCGCGAATTTATCCAGTGCGGTTAGCGTCTTATTTTAATTATTCTTAAATTCGTAACAAGCAATTGTGTGTTACAACCGTCTGCGCATATAAAGAATTAGTGGAATCTTTAAAAGAAAACCGATATTCTAATGTAAAGAAAAAATAAGATACATAAACCCAAAACTAGGCTGTATGGGAGAATACCCTTTGCCTTACCTGATAAGGGAAATTGTTAATAAAAAGACGTCACGTTGACATTGTCAACTGTCAACGTCAACCTCATGTTTCGTTTCGTTCGATCGTGCGTGTATGCCGTTTTAGATTTTACGGAAAGAAAGGAATTTTATATCAAGGAAACCTGTTCAAAAGTTGGCCTAATTAATATTTAAAAGGTAACTTATTTGGTATTCCGGTTATTTTACGTTTAATGAACCCAATTATATCAACATTCAAACCGTAACACGAGTGAGTTGTTCGGATGAATCAGCTTATTAGTTGATTTTTAATTTGCGTTCTATTTTCCAATTGTGATCGTTGATGATTACATGAGTAATCTTTGTTTTTGTTCGTTATAAGATAACTCAGCTGACAACTATAAAAACTGAACGACGCACAAGTGAAGTGAATTTCAGGTAAACTTTTTCTAACTTCTTGTTTACCAACTTTATTTACCAGTTACCTTATTTTTTTTTTATTACAGCTCCTCTGATTAACTTTCTTAGTTAACTCTATTAAATTCAAGTTATGTATGTCAAATAAGTTGCTGGCTACATTAAAAGTTTTGGCCTGTAGTAGGATTATTTATTTTAATAATTAAAATATTTTTAAATGATTATTAATAAGATAAGTTATACGAGAACAATAACATGTATGTCTTTTACAAAAACACTACTGTGTTAAAGCACAAATCAAGAAACAATGCAAAGTTCAAGAACTGGTTCAAGACACTTGTATTGCCGTCAGTTTGCTGTCATTAATGATTATGACTGATGGATAATGGGATGATTGATGACTTTTCAATACCCATCAGTTTTTCATCATATATAACTGAGTACATCACTCAGTTGACTGCATGTGCATGTGTTATAGACATCTAAATGATGCATCTCTGGCATCTACAAAGTTTGACTAAAGTCGACAAAAGTTGATTAACTATGTTTACTAGTCAGCTGACTAATTGGTTTATTTAAAACTACTAATCGGCTAGTCAGCCATGGTCATAACTGGCACATATTCTTATATAAATCATTCATATTATATAAAATCAAGGAAAAATAACAGAAAATTTAAATTTAACTTCTAATTATGGTTAGTGCTGGTTTTTTCTATGGTTTATTAATAACTAGTGACTGGCTGCAACTTTTTCAGCCTGGTTTAATTGGTTTCCCATACAAACTTCCACCCCTATTTTCACTACCTTGAAGGATGATATCTGGGACAAAAGCTATCCTATGTTGATTCTGGGAACCTAAACTCTATCTGTACCAAATTTATCTCAATTAGTTCAACAGTTGAATTGTGAAGAGGTCACAGACAAATAGACACACTTCTATATAGAGACAGATTAACCAAGAACGCTATCACCCGGGGTGGCAGGCTTCAAGAGCTGAGTAAGAGAATGAAGAACTAATTCTATTTTCTATTTGTCTATATATTCGTCTATAAGTACAGTGTTTCTATAAAGTATTAAAATAAAAACGATAGATGAGATTCATTCTCAAGCAATGGAGTGACCAAGCCAAATAGGGATACTTTTTATATATATATTGATAAATAAACATTCACTACTCATTCCCCGTAGATAGCGTGATAATAGGTAGCCTATATGTTGACTCGACTTCTTAATAATATTCGTGCCAAATTTGAAGTAAATCCATGCAGTACTTTTAGAGTTTATCCCAGACATACACACAGACAAACGGACAAAAAATCTAAAAACTAAATTTTTGGCTTTGGCTTCGGTATTGATTGTAGATCACACCCCAAGTATTCTTTTAAAAAACTATTAAAATGTACAGTTTTGACTTTCTTACCATTTTATATGTATGTATAGATATGTTGTTTCTTACAGTACCAAAATGACGGAACGGGAGCCTATAAGCGGATCCAGTCGTGACTACGGTGCGACAGCCGCCCCGCCAGCAGTCGCCTTCGCCGATTTCAGCCCAACAGAACTTTATAACCTGACAGAAGGCATTGCTGATAACATCAACTCCGTCAACTCGGGCTTGCTCTCTTTGGAGAAGAAGATGAAGCAAATCGGCGGGCCCAATGATAACCTGCAACTCAGGGAGAAAATGTTAGTGAGTTTTATGCTAAGTATTCATAATCAGGGATGTATTTACTTGCAGCCCTTATTCTGATTTCAATTACTAATCTTCATAAGTGGCACAGAGCGCCAGATTTTAAAATACACCCTTATAAGTTTTTAGTTCAATACGATACTTGATTTCCTTTTTTTATTTAAATTGTTATGATTGTTTTGCATTGCATCATTGCATTTTAATTAGTTTTTAAATTCTATGTAAGTATGCTGTTTAGAAATATATTGATATTATTGATTTACTATTGTTATGAATTTGGGATTCATATAGTTCTCATTGATGGATTGATTATGGATGGATTATTCCAGTTATATTTAAGATTATTTAAAGTACCAACTGTCTTTTTAACCGACTGCAAAAAAGGGGTAGGTTCTGTGTTCGACTGTATATATATTTTTTTATGTATGTTCACTGATTTCTTCATCAATTGTGGACCGATATCTAAAATTCTTTTTTTATATTTTTCATGATTCAAGATTGAAACATTAAATAGATTTTCGTTTCTGATTGGTAATAATACATCTTTCATTAAGACACGCGTGACTTCGAAATCATGAACCGGATATTATTTTTTACTTTTTAGTTCCATTTTCGATTTTGAATTGGGTTTAATTTTTTGTTTAAAAATTTTGATATAGAGAGAAAGATTCAGTTGCTACTTTCATGAAGTACTTTTGCCTATTTGTGGCGTATAATGCCTTACATAATTTTTTTATTGTATGGAAAGTAGATTAATCTGCACAGATAAATTCACAAACATTCACTAGGAATATTTTTTTTATAAAGGATGGCAAACAAGCATATGGCCTGTCTGATAGAAGAGGTCACCATAGCCTACATTATATTTGCGTTACAAAAACTATCACTCGCGCCCTTGCCTACCCTGACCTTTTCCTATATCCCGCGGAGCCCTGGAACCTTACGCACCGGCAGAAACAAAACACTACCAAAAAGTAGTGTTGTTTATCTATGGTCTTCTGTTAGGTGAAGGTGACATGACGACCTCCGTGGTCGTGTGGTTTGTACGCCGGGTTTCATGGCTGTCGCCGACTCGAGAGGTCCCGGGTTTGAATCCCGGTGGGGGCAGATGTTTGTGTGATGAATACGAGCATTTGTACTCCAGTCATGGATGTTTAATATGTATTTATATAAATATACTTATATATGTACAGTGTATGTATTCTATCCGTTACCCTAGTATCCCATAACACAAGCCTTATAGTGCTTACTTTGGGGCTAGGCTAATTGGTGTGAGTGTCGGAAATATTTATTTTATTTATTTAAGGTTACTTCCATAGACGGGTGCTCCAATGAGGACGCCACTGTTGAGTGAGATCTGCGAGAGTAGCTTTTTAAGTTTGTTAATACGAATAAAATCAATGTTAATTTTTAAATCGTATATTGATACAAAAGTACCATGTCGCGCAATTCCGTTTTGTTCGGAAAAAAGGAGTACATACTGCTTTTAAACAACTGACATCCATCGGCACGTAACACATGTTTGCCATAATTAATACAACTTACTACCAAATATTCACAACATAATTTTAATTAGTAGTAAACCTGCGTAGTCAACCCGCAAGCGATAACATCTGCAATTTCGTAAACCTCACTCAACACAAGCGCTTCTAGCGGCGGACTCATACGCGATAGCCCTCATTGCTTGGTGGAACATCCGATATGCCCTACTCGTTGATCCTCAAGTGATATGTCTCCCCCTCGTAGTCACGAGTGCCAGCAGACGGTGAACGCTTGCGTGTCGGCGACGGCGCGGGACCTGGCGCGCCTGGGGGTGGTGGTCCGGCGCGGGGACAAGCCGCACAAGCTGCAGCTGGAGCGACTCACGCAGGCCTTCAGGGAGGCGCTGGACAAGTACTCCGGCGTGCAGAAGGTGAGGTTACAATAACGCGGGACCTGGCGCGCCTGGGGGGTGGTGGTCCGGCGCGGGGACAAGCCGCACAAGCTGCAGCTGGAGCGACTCACGCAGGCCTTCAGGGAGGCGCTGGACAAGTACTCCGGCGTGCAGAAGGTGAGGTTACAATAACGCGGGACCTGGCGCGCCTGGGGGTGGTGGTCCGGCGCGGGGACAAGCCGCACAAGCTGCAGCTGGAGCGACTCACGCAGGCCTTCAGGGAGGCGCTGGACAAGTACTCCGGCGTGCAGAAGGTGAGGTTACAATAACGCGGGACCTGGCGCGCCTGGGGGTGGTGGTCCGGCGCGGGGACAAGCCGCACAAGCTGCAGCTGGAGCGACTCACGCAGGCCTTCAGGGAGGCGCTGGACAAGTACTCCGGCGTGCAGAAGGTGAGGTTACAATAACGCGGGACCTGGCGCGCCTGGGGGTGGTGGTCCGGCGCGGGGACAAGCCGCACAAGCTGCAGCTGGAGCGACTCACGCAGGCCTTCAGGGAGGCGCTGGACAAGTACTCCGGCGTGCAGAAGGTGAGGTTACAATAACGCGGGACCTGGCGCGCCTGGGGGTGGTGGTCCGGCGCGGGGACAAGCCGCACAAGCTGCAGCTGGAGCGACTCACGCAGGCCTTCAGGGAGGCGCTGGACAAGTACTCCGGCGTGCAGAAGGTGAGGTTACAATAACGCGGGACCTGGCGCGCCTGGGGGTGGTGGTCCGGCGCGGGGACAAGCCGCACAAGCTGCAGCTGGAGCGACTCACGCAGGCCTTCAGGGAGGCGCTGGACAAGTACTCCGGCGTGCAGTAGGTGAGGTTACAATAACTCATTCGCTTCACTCCCTACCGTTGCAGTTCGAGTTGCTCCAAAGTGTATACTCGTAAAAAGAAAATATTACTCTAACAAATGTTAAGTAAATTGTTAAGAAATCCTTATGAGGTTTTTAATTTAGGCTAACCAGAAATTCCCTTTTCTAATTTCTTGCATTAAGTAATGCCTATGAGTTTAGTGCGATTCGACTTATGCCGGTTGTGAAGTTAGCAGCGAGCGCAACTATGTGCAGTTTTAATTCAGTGACATTTCTATACATTGCTAAGACTGGCACTGATTTGAACGGCCGGCATTAACTCTGATTAGGACTAATGTAGAATAATCGTAAATAAAGAAAATTATAAGGGTATATTATTATTTAATTACCACAAAAAGTTACGCATGCGTTCAATACGAGCATTAGAAAAAAAAACAACGGATTGCACTCCGGGAGTGCCGGCAGAATTAAAAACATGAATTTTAACGTTGTGCATTTTTAATATTTTGGAATGGTTACGTAATAATTTTGCACGAATTGCTTTAATTATCAGTATTAAAGTACTATCACTTAAGTGGTAAAATACAATATTTATTTATTGCGCTATCGTACACAAACATGACAATTTATATTACATTAAAAAGTTTATCTCTCAGAAAAATCAACTTACATGAATCACATTTAAGCGCACCTAGCGACATCTGTTGTAAAAAAAATGCATTTTCTTCGCAATAAAGCTGCGACCTGGACGTCCTAGATAGAGACTTATTATTATAATACGATAAAATAAAATATTACTATGTTTCGTCCAATTAATTGAAAAACAACCTTTCCAATTTTATTTTTTTCGACTTACGAATTTTCGATTAGGTCACATGTCCTGACGCGAGTTTAACAATTTCTACCCATTACAAAAAAAAAGTACAACGCCGCCAAAGAAGTTTTCATTTCAGAAACATATAAAATCTGTTTATTTAAACAGTGTCGTTACTTTATTGCAATTTGCAGTAAGACCGTTAACTTTTTCTTATGTATGTTTCAGCAAGTTTCAGCTAAAATGGCGGAGTTTATGCCTCGAGCGCCTCGGACTCGACCTGATCCACAGCTCCAAGCTATAGCTGATGATGAGGAGGCCACCCTGCTGGCCAACCAACAGGCACAGGTCAATACACACAACAGTTATTGTTTGCAACAGATTTGAGGAATGATAGGCAAGGAATAACTTTGATGAGGCTTGTAATACTGAACATTTAGCACTGAATTTTAATAATGGACAGAATACAATAGTAAACATTATAAGAAATGCTAAAAATATCAATTTTTAAACTAAATCGATATCTTTTTTTTTTCTATTTATCGATTTGGTTTTGATGTCTTAAGTAAATAAAAGCGAATAAAATTAAATTTAATAATTTGAATACAATAGGGGTGATGACGGGGTACAGTAAACGAAATTCTATTTAGTCCGTCAGTTAGGTGATCAAAAATAATGGACACGTATTTTTTCTTTGGGCAATCAACCAAAAAATGACAAAGTTTAGCGCGTCAAAGTTTGGGAGTAGGGGCTCGTGACGACACTTTTGAGTAAATTTTCACTTATAAGTGTACTCAAACGTGACGTCATGCGACTTTTCAAATCAATATATCTCTGCAATGTTTATATTATGTGAAAAAAGAAAAAATACGTGTCCAATACTTTTTGATAATCTACCTGATAAACGAAGAGAGAAAAAATAGTCATCATCCCTATTCAAAGGAAAAAGTTTGCAATTTAATTTTCTATGCAATTTAAAATTATCCAAATAAAAAGTTCGTTTCTTACATTATACTGTCTGATATAGGAAATCAAAGCCGATGGCGCAAGTAGTTCGCGCGTTCGGCTGAGATCGTTGAAGTTAAGCAACTTACGCAGTGGTCGGTCATTGGATGGGTGACCAAACATCTTGTATCTCGAGTTCCTCCGTGCTTCGGAAGGCACGTTAAGCCGTTGGTCCCGGCTGCATCTGCAGTCGTTAGCACCCGCCAATCCCCACTGGGTCCGCGTGGTGGGTCATGACCCAATCTCCCTATTCCATCCATATGGAAGGCTTATGCCTTGAAGTGGGGACATTAATAGGCTGATGATAATGATGATACAAGTTTTTGACATTCATAATCATAATAATCATAATCAAAGTCATTTATTCAGTTTAGGCTGTTACAAGCACTCATGAATGTCTAGAAGCTACGCCATCAGTTCGTAAATCTACGGCGGGAGACCTTGTACTGAGAAGAACCGGCAAGAAACTCAGCATGGGCTGTTTTTTTCTCCCTGTTTTATTATTTACAGAGTCGTCAAATAATTAACAAAAAAAAACATTAAAATTAAAAACATTGTTTATCGTATGGCAGGCTCGCTTAGTACAGTTCGAAACGAGCATGATGCTAGAGCGGGAGGCCTACATCAATAAGATCGAAGCTGACGTGTTGGATGTGGGACAGATCATGAGGGAGTTGGCCACTATGGTTAATGCGCAGGCGCAGACTGTCGGTAAGTTAAACGAACGATATAGAGTCTGTGCGGAAAGAGAATGGGCGTGGCGAAAAACGGAACTAACATTAAGATCTAAAGCAAAGATTTAATAGAAAAAAAATCCACACGGATCAGGCAGCAGACGGGACTCGAACCCGCACCCTTCGCAATCCGGGCGAATGCACTGACCAATTATGCTACCGCGGCCCTGATGGCCGCGTCGAAATTTTCCTATCCTTAAGCTGCAAGGCAGCGCCATCTCTTCGCATTGTCAAATGAATACTTTTTCAAGTACATATTAAACATTTGAAAGAAGAAATAGCATAATTGGTCAGTGCATTTGCCCGGATTGCGAAGGGTGCGGGTTCTAGTCCCGTCCGCTGCCTGGTCCGCGTGGATTTTTTTTTCCATTAAAACTTTTCTTTAGATTTAAACATCTAGCAGTTAAATGCTTAAAAAATAAATACATAACATTAAGATTTTTATTTGGAAATCAAACCCAGCAATCTGTAAAACGTCAAAGTTTGGTATTGATACGGATTTGTTTGTTTTTGTGATTTCTTGCGGTTTTTTGTATTTAATCATGTCTAAAAGGTATAAAACCTTACAAATACGGTAGAAAAGCACTACAGCGCCCTCCAATCTAAATCCCATTCTCTTCCCGCACAGACTCTAACATAATTTTTATTTATTTAGAGTCTTTTACCTCATATAAAGGATATGCCAGTCCCATCATATCCTAACATTATATATTACAATATTAAAATAAAACTACGACGATACATTATTGCAAAAATATATATATAAGGCTATTGAATAGTTCCAACTGCGGATCTGCCAATGTTGTTGCGAATATCCCTACACCGAACGCGTTTATAATATGTTATTGCAGTAATGTCTTTTAGTTATATATACAATATATTGGATTAAACTTTCATGGTCACTAACATTATAGCTATTAACGGGATTATTACCATGTACCTTGTTTTTTATGAGTCTCCGATGTTTCGGCACTCACTGTTACAAGCGCCATGATCACGGAGTAACTGAAGTAATTGCGGGTAGATGTTATTGGCACTTTAATACGCATACCCCACATGTCTATTTTAAAGTGTGCCTTCTGATTGGCGGTTCATCACGCGACCATTTCTCCGTCGCACGATGCCCCGCCCCTTTAAAGTAGGCATTGTGATTGGTCGGCACGTTTTTTCTTGTCTCTCTTGCTGTCGTCAAAACCATTAGATAAAAATAAAAATAAAATAAATATTTCCGACACTCACACCGATTAGCCTAGTCCCAAAGCACTATAAGGCTTGTGTTATGGGATGCTAGGGTAACGGATAGAATACATATACTGTACATATATATGTATATTTATATAAATACATATTAAACATCCATGACTGGAGTACAAATGCTCGTATTCATTACACAAACATCTGCCCCCGCCGGGATTCGAACCCGGGACCTCTCGAGTCGGCGACACCATGAAACCCGGCGTACAAACCACTCGGCCACGGAGGTCGTCGAATGTTTACTGAGTAGCGATGCGCTACTACGAATGATTTTACCTTTCGACTAATTCGTAACTACTAATTTGACTATTCGAAAGGTAAATTATCTCTTATCTATTAGACAAGTCCGTCCGTCCGTCCGTCCGTCCGTGGTGCTGTTTCAGCGGCCAAACCGTAAGAGATAGATATGGAGAATGTTTAAGTTATAAGTTGAGAATAGTCTGATAAGACTACAAACCGGATGTGAGTAACGTAGCACTTCCGGTTTTCGAGAAATCACGTGATTTCTATTTCAAACGAAACCACACAAAATCTCCGAAGTTCTCAATTAATTAAATACATATATTTTTTTTTTTGGTGAACATTTGGTTCACTGGTTTGCTAGTTAGTATACTAATGTCATTATTCGAATAACGACTATTAATTAGTAATACTAATGTCAAATTTACAAGAGCGCAACGAATAAGGTTAGGTCATTCATTCGTTCGTTCATCATTTGCCTTAGTTCAGTTAGTTTCCGTACATTCGTACTTGGCACCTGCTACGATAGTCTATCTGTAATTAATTTTTTTTTTTTAAGTGAATCTTCTTTATCGGCGTTGGAAAAAAATTTACCGTCACATTTTATTCGGTTACGCGTCACGTTTTTTGGTTACGCGCCATCTTTTTTTTAAAAGAGCACTATTTACCTCATCCGAACAATTGCTTCTTCTGTCAACTTTAAAAAAAAAGTATCGACAGCAAATATTCGTGTTTCACACAAGGTAAGGTAAGGTAAGGTGTAGTTATACCCCTTTAGTGGGTGAGTTTTTGAAAAATCTTAGCGCACGCCTATATATATATTTCTGGAAAGTTGCATGTAGATCATTTTTCGAAAAAAATAAGGCCATAAAGAAGTTTCACTTCTTACGTGTGCACACTAGTACACGCACACATTTTTTATTATTACTTGATTTATATATAGGGGTAACGGCCCAATCATTGGCACTCTTCCTATTATTGGCACTTTTGAGTTTAGTTCAAAAAAAACAGGGAACTTTGAAAAGATTGTAGGAATAATGCTGCCAATTTACAAATTTCGTAACCATACTAGGTTTTTCTTTTTAATATGTTGAACCTTGAATAATCTATTATTGTCTCATTGTTTTTTTTGAATGAGGGTGTTTATGAAAATTTGCGTCACCAGTTGGCGCCACTGTTACGTGAGGTCTTTTGGATGAAGTTTTTAACGCCAACTCCATAGACCAGATTCATAGACTATGAGATCATATGCGATTTGAAGGATGATTAGACCTTTCGTCTACTGAGACGCGGACGGAACTCGAACCCGCATCCTTCGCTATCCGGGCGAATGCACTGACCATTATGCTACCACGGCCCTATTAGCCGCGTCGAAATTTTCCTAGCCTTAAGCTGCAAGGCAGCGCCATCTCTTCGCATTGTAGGTAACCCACAATGTCAAATGAATACTTTTTCAAGTATTAAACATTTGAAAGAAGAAATAGCAATTATAGTTATGATTTTATTTATTTTTTAAGCATTTAACTGCTAGATGTTTAAATCTAAAGAAAAGTTTTACTAGAAAATAATTCACGCGGACCAGGCAGCGGACGGGACTCGAACCCGCATCCTTCGCTATCCGGGCGAATGCACTGACCATTATGCTACCACGGCCCTATTAGCCGCGTCGAAATTTTCCTAGCCTTAAGCTGCAAGGCACCGCCATCTCTTCGCACTACAGTGCATTCGCCCGGATAGCGAAGGATGCGGGTTCGAGTCCCGTCCGTTGCCTGGTCCGCGTGGATGTTTTTCTAGTAAAACTTTTCTTTAGATTTAAACTCAAAGTGCCAATAATAGGGCGAGTGTCAATGATTGGGTGGTTTCCCCTATTTTTAAAATTAAAGAGTACATATACCGATCTAATCATTAAAAAACGATTGAAAGTAGTATCCTGTTAACTCTTCTCGTCGAGTTTGCCCGTCCAAGCCCGAGTCGAGCCGGTTAGTCGCCGTCCGATACCTTCGACTCCTGTCCAATGATATAAAGCGCAGTCGACTTGGTCGAATGATTCGTGGAGTCGAATGATTAGTATTAGTATTATTCGAAGTTGCGCATCGCTATTAGTGAGATGTCTATCTTGTCTCTGATATCCTTGATTTGCCTCCTCATAAATTTAAAATACACATTAATAATTGTTTACTTAAGAAAGGATATTATACTGTCAATCAATATTTGAATGATAAAACGGCCTGGTTGTAATTTTACCTGTAGATAATTTTTCAAAAGTTATATTAAAACTAAGGCTCCCAGCCTTAGAAAGAGTTTTGAAGAGAACCTTGCACTTACTCCCAATCATATACTTGTTTATTTTGTTTTGAAAATTGTTTCTTGCTATTTTGGGACTTTTTTTTGCACTTATTGTTAGTAAATTCGTTGATTGTCTGTTGTTACATATTTGACATTATGTGATGGAAGTTGACCTCAACACATGTTTGCAAGTTCGATGTCAACTTTCAATCGGACGACACTGTATGAAATAAAACAGGGACTGCCTTGCTGAGTTTCTTGCCGGTTCTTCTCAGTAGAAGGTCTCCCGCCGTAGAATTGCGAACCGATGGCGTAGCTTTTCGACATTCACAAGTGCTTGTAACAGCCTAGACTGAATAAACGAAATTGAATTTTGAATTTGAATTTTGAAGTGAAACTTCTTTATCGGCGTTGGAAAAAAATTTACCGTCACATTTTTCCGTTACGCGCCATCTTTTTTTATATTAATAGTTGATAGCTGAATGATCACACTGTCGCCGGCGAGAACTCTCTCTACTCGTTTGTAGCTGAGTGACAATAGTTATTAAAGATAAGACTCGCTCAGCCAAACTCGCATAGCGATACTCGCTCAGCGATACTCGCTCAGCGATACTCGCTCAGCGATACTCGCTTAGCTATACTCGCTCGGTTAAGCTGGCTTGGCTGTCAAAAGCCGTGCGCGTGCATTTTAACTCAGGACTGCCAATTCGTTTCTAGTTTCTACTCGCTTATCGTTCATCGTCGGAGGTGGAACATGTGCCTTAGATTACTGAGCCGTGTAATCATAACAGTTTCATAGGCAGTAATTTGTATTCATGTCCATGATAATAAAAACCTTTTGTTTAAACTTTATCTAATTTAACTTTATTTAACCAATTTCTGGAAAGTTGCATGTAGATCATTTTTCGAAAAATAAGGCCATAAAGAAGTTTCACTTCTTACGTGTGTACACTAGTACACGCACACATTTTTTTGTCTATGTTATTGATACAACACTCGCCCTCAGACTCGGTGGCCAGTCACGTAGAAGACGCGGGCGCTCGTATAGAGGCGGGGGTCGATGAACTCGCCAAAGCGGCCGAGCACCAGCGACAATACCGGCGGAAAATGTTCATACTCAGCCTCATCGCCGCCGTAGTAGCCATCATACTCATCGTGTGGATCGTCAAAGCTTTCAGATAGACGGTCCCTTTTAAAAGGAAACGAGCGAGCCTTAAGCCAGAAACATATTAACGTGTCGTGGCGCATCGGTTTCGTACGTTTATTATGGGTTAGAGAGAGATAGAGAGGTTAAAGCGTCGACACGACGCGATACGTAAATATGTCTCTAACCATAGTAAATGTATGAAACCGATGTGCTTCTGGCGCGCCACGACGCGACACGACACGTTAATATGTTTCTGGCTTTACGGTAGGCGCGTATGATGTGTAACGTTTGAAACCTCACCTTGTATTAGTGAAAAAAGAAATAAAACCTCCTACAAAAGGAATAAGTCATTGTTCTAAAATCAAATCAAATAGCGCGCGCTTCCCAAACTTCCTGTTACACCCTTCCGTCCCATTTCACGAAATCAGTCCCACAAATTGCAGGAAAGCAAGGGGACAGACGTTACACATCAATAAGGGTGATGACGGGGTACAGTAAACGAAATTCTATTTAGTCCGTCAGTTAGATGATCAAAAAATAATGGACACGTATTTTTTCTTTGGGCAATCAACCAAAAAATAACAAAATTATAGCGCGTCAAAGTTTGGGAGTAGGGGCTCGTGACGTTACTTTTCAGTGAATGTTGTATCAAAATATGACGTCATGCGACTTTTCAAATCAATATATCTCTGCAATGTTTATATTATATGAAAAAAGAAAAAATACGTGTCCAATACTTTTTGATAATCTACCTGATAAACGAAGAAAAAAAAATTAGTCATCATCCCTATTACAGGCGCAAACAATATATGAATAAACAGGTCTGTTTTTGACGATTCCGTAACATGTTGCATTCGTATCGTAAAAGTTGTAAAAACAAACTAACTTTCTCCATACGAATTGTGACAATGACGTTACGGAGCTGGCGAAAATTCGTGCTTGTTGAGCCTCTCACGAAGAATCTTACAAATTATATAAAAAATTAAACAACCGAATTGAGAACCTCCCGAGTTTTGAAATCGTTTCAAAATAAGAAGTTATATGGCTATTAATTTGGCCAATTTATTGAAATGAAACGTTTTCAGCCACGATTATTATAAGTAAATTTGGCCAATTTATTATTAAAACATTTCCAGCCACATTTAAAAGTGAATTTGGCCAACTTGTAGCCAAAGATCATACTCAGATCGCCAAAGCGTTCAGAAAGGTCACTTCTTAAATAGTACAGATTCAAACTGTAAATAAATTGGTTTTTTTTTTGGTAAAATTCATGTGTTATTTAAAATAATGCCTTCTAATTATAAACATGAATTGAAAAATAAAATACATACTTAATCTTAGCTAAACACTGTTAAAATAATAACCTACCTCGTACCCAATGTAATTTGGCTGTTTAGGGTTTTTTTACTGTTATAATAATATTTTAGTTTTAAAATGGTGGGAATTTAAGTTGTATAATTTTAAATAACAATGAAATTGCCAAATTGTTTGTTATTTGTACATAAAATGGATTTTATTATTATTATCACGTTTGTTTGTATTAATTAGTGATGTTCTCAATACATATTATCATACGGTCTATTTAGATCTGTCTAAAGGTCATATTATATTTTTTTATTGCCCGGTCCGGCTCTTCTCTGAAACAAGTTACGACCAATTTTAATGTATAATTTTCTATTAAAATAATTATATTAGTGTGCAATTTTATAATAATAATTTTCAATGGAAATTCATAAATTCACCTGTCACCGGAAGTGACCAGAAACATGATTCATACACAAAACAAACAGTCAATGGATTTTCAACCTTATGGCTCTAACATAATAAAATCTCAACCCGCTTTAAGAATTAATAAATACTTTCGCTAAGTGGATATGGAGATGTCTAATGAAACAATGGTGTCGATTCTGGCGTGATTCTCTAAACTTAAAACTAAATTTAACATCAATCGCTCCTTTTCATTCCGTATAGAGAATGACAAGGATACATTGTTGTCAAATTTAAGTTTCGGTTTAGAGAATCGTGTCAGAATTGACACCAATATTATATGTATAATTTAAATTGTGCCCATACATTTTATAATTAATTCCAGATTTTGTGTACCATCATTTTGATATTCTTAAAGAATATTCACTGACGATAAGAAAACAATGGGGGAAAATATGGCTGATCAAATCTGTGATGATGTATATGTTGTTGTAATGTATAATTTCAAATAATATGCGAACAGTGTTTTACTGATCCACACTATATTAATATCTAAGATATGTTGTAAAATCATCGTCTCTGTCGCGTACGCATTTTTAAGCGATTTTTCTGAGCCGTGGATTCGATATTTTTGCCTTAGCGTTTATGAAAAGCACAGTATATGAACAGTTTCTTGATCAGGAATTCAGATCCGGCATTCCGTCAGCCTAACGCAGACGATTCGGTTTTTTATTAGGTAATTTCCGAACCGAAGGTTTTTTTCCATTGTGTAAAAATTTGAATGGTGTGCACATTATTGAACATACGAATCGCCTAACGAGTTTGCTATGTCTATTGCTATCGTTTACGATTTCATTTTCTTATTTCTGACCGCTGAAGGCATAGCAATCCCATTAGGCAATTGAAACCCATGGTCTACGAATCGGAATTCCTGATCAGGAAACCGTACATTATATGTCAAGCCTGAAAGTCAACAACATATCAAATTAACCGTAACTATGTCCGTATGACTTTTAATGTTATCTTTCATGATATAAGGTTCATAATCGGTTGAGAAAATTTGACTGCAGTAACTGGCGTGGTGTACTTACGTTTGCAGCATAATATTTTACTTTTCTATATTTTAATTATCATTATTATCCATTTGTAGGTCAATCAAATGCAAAAATCTGCCACTAAAAGACAGCGACAGCAAAATACAAAGGACATGGTAAAGTTTTGTATGAGCGACTGCCCTGGCAATGTATAAATACTGTACTTAGAAATATTGAAGTAAATGGCTGAATATTTATAATTTCTATGAAAAAAGACTCAGGAACTTTGATAAAGTATTAACAGAGTCATCATTTTCGCATTTTATTAGAATCTTACTTCCCATTTCTATGATTAACTCTTCACAAAAAGTTTTTTTAAAGCAAAAATAATTTGTTATCGTCGCCTGACGGGAAATCTGTGAAGTTTTATTTTATCCATTTGCAAAAATTAAAGGATTAATTATCATACAGCCTTGTCTCAAGCTTAATCAGAATAATAAAATTTATTATTTTAGGCCTTCCGTGATTTGTTGTAACAAAAATTAGGGCCAAATATATCATATTTTGAAGGAGTTTAGAAATAATATTGTATATTTCGATATCCTTACACAGATATTTTTTGTATACATTTATTGTTCATTAATTTTGTAAAACGGAACATTTTGCTTTTAAAACAGACATGGAAGTCAATTTTTATACTTTTTACTATTTGAATATTTCACCAAAGTTGTATGAGAATAATAAACACGTAATAATTAATAAAAAAATATTGTAAAGTTACGGGCTAGTGCGAAATATTTATACACGTTAAGGGCAGTTTCTTAGCCATGTCCTTTATTTATTGCACTCATGTGGTTAGTACAGATGTTACAATAAAAAATATAGATACAGACGCATGAACCCTTATACCCTATAAGGCATCGCAATTTACAATAAAATGTCCATTGTTTAGCAAAAAACTGCTTTTTACTGCAGTAGTTTTTCTTATGCGGCCACGTGACTGAGACCTAATGGTTCATTAATGTATGAAAAAAAAATATTCGAAGTATTAGTTTGATTTTGTTATGAGTTACTTATTAATTAACGGCCGATTTGATTGGTCTATCTACAGTAAGAGAGTTTAGACAGTAAGCCACTATGCATATTTCGTTCAACATCTTTGACAACTGTGTAGTTGTATATTTCTTATTATAAATAGGCTTTTGATATCGGTCGTAATAGTTGTATATAAGAATATATCTCGATTATAACGTGTTTATTTAATATTTATCATAGTAGTTAGGATTTTGTAATCTTCAAATGTAGCTTAGTCATTATTACTAAGTAAAGCTTATTACAACATTATGTTGCGTATGTAGATACGTATTTTTTTTTTATTAAAATATATTTGTGTTAATTTATTAAAATGAACGCAAAATGAAATAACATCACATTCCAAAACACGCTAAAACGAGCCAGTATCAAAATCTACTTGAAAATGAAGAATGTCGAAAATCGGATGTTGGGATATCCCAACTGCAATTTTAATAAGTGTAAAATTATCAATATTCATTATAGTGATCTACTTGTAATTGTAACGGGCGTTCGAAAATCCTATACAAACCAAAACATAGGCCTATCGTTAGTTTAACCATAGACTAAAGAGGCACAGATGAAGCTTCATACAATAGACTATTTGACATGAAATATATGAAAAATAAAGTATCAATTATTGGCATGTGTATTTAACATGAATATTGGGAGCGATTTCAATGTTCTGCCAAAAAAAGTAGTTGATAATAGTGATAAAAATCAGGAAATAGAAAACTATTTTTATTGATGCTCATTCTAAGGGGGCTTATTGGTGTCGATTCTGGCGTGATTCTCTAAACTGAAAACTAAATTTAACATCAGTCTCTCTTTTTCTATCTGTATAGAGAATGACAAGGAAACACTTATCAAATTTAAGTCGTGCTAGAATCGACACCATTAGCTTTATCACTTACAAGGATATTGAGAACGTTCGGTAAGCAATATGCTCAAATAGAAAAACCCTTTTGTAACATGCATAATAAATAGTTTTAAACAAATAATTTTGCGATTAAAGGAAATAATAATTGAATTTGTTTGTTTTTCATTCTTCTGCATGCACTACCTGTATCTTGCTACCTTTTTTAGAGAAACTTTTTTTTTCTTTAGTATGTCGCATTGCATTTTAAATTATTACTATTAAAAACTTGAGGAAAATTTAATAACACTAAGTCCGGTCGCTAACGGTTTTTGACAGATGAAAGAGACAGCAATCGAGCTATTTACTAATCCACTACTGCTCTAATATAACGCCATTATGATACTTGTTCTTACAAGCATCAGTGCCAGTGGTTCAGTGATAGAAAGCTCGCCTACTATGAGGGCGTCCCGAAATCGATGTCCAGCTGTGGAACAACTTTTTTTTTA